CGTAACGTTGTTCCAAGGTACGTTTAGGTCATTCCACGAGAGTTAATCACCAAACCTGCCCTGGTTGCTAATGCTTTGAAGTGATGATTTGGATGGTTTTGACGACAATCGCTGAAAGGCCTTGGAGAACCGGTCGAAAGAACTTTACTTTAATTCAATCGACTTTGTTTTTATCAATTTTTTAGTTTTATTAGTTTTATACTTTATCTAGACCCAGTTAGTCCAGGCCCTGTTGGCCGACATTGGCAAAATTAGGAAGGCGTTGTTTGGATTAGCGTCTAAGGTTATCGCTAATTTAACAAGATATTACAAGCATAGTGCCTTATTATGAAGCTCGGCACTTTCATTATTATGAAGCTCACCACTGTCCTTATGAACTTGCAAATAACGTGACCATGACTAAAAATAGGTTTTGTTCATCTTCTTAGCCTCTATTGCTGGGGAAACAATGCAAATAATACCTGTGTTTCAGCTCAGCAGGTGGGTTTTTACTTCCACTTCTTCGTAAGTTCCTCATGATCCCTGTAAAATGGCACTTCTAGGACACAGCAGGCTAATGTCTCAAGTTTTCTACGACAATGCAACCGATACCGCGGTCGTTACATAGCAGAATTGGGTTCTGGCACCTGTCTTAGCCGAGCTAAGCCCAAACCTCCGTCTGAGCGGGGTTACATCCCAGGCGACCTGGCCGGCGGCAGCGGCGGCGCCGGCGGGCTGGGCGGGCGGCTGTCTGTTGATTTCATGTGAGGCACGCGGCTCGGGCGGGCGACGGCCCACCTGCCGCCGTCAGTAGCGCCGACGCTCCGACGCATCCGACCGGCCGCATACCGGCCCGCCCGGCCAGACCGCCGGCCGGACACACGCCAGGCCAGACCGCCGACCGGACACAGAGCGGCCCGCCCGGCCAGACCGCTGGCCGGGCTGAGAGCGGCCCTCCCGGCCAAACCGCCGGCCGGACACAGAGCGGCCCGCCCGGCCGGACCGCCGGCCGGACCCCTCCGGACCGGCACTGGGTGGCTCGTTGAACCCTCTCGCAAAATAAGACATTCGCCCTGGTCGGCCCTCAACAACTCACTCGGTTAGAGCGCCTGCCTTCCATCCTACCTTGTGGCATGACGTGGTGGATGGGTTTGCTTCAGCGCTTCACTATTTACCCCTGGCTGGGATGACCTGTGGCCGGTGGTGGCGGCAGTTCGAGGTCAAATGAGGTCAGAGAGCGGGTTGGGTGTCGTACCTAGCATCGTGGTACGTTAAGCTTTCACCAAGAAATTTCGCAGTTAGCTGGAACTTACCAGTCTGTTGCTGGTGGCAGAGATTACCCATCAAACACTTTGTACTTGAACTCGAAGGACAGAAATCAATCCGATTAAAACGTTCGGATAAAATAAAAACGATTGGTCGGCCTTCGTTGCTGCTTTTGCCGTAAGCGCCCGCGTAATGTCTGGCGGCGTTGGAGCTGGCTGAGTATGCCGTGTGATGGGCGGAGTGACAGGCTGACCAGGTAAGTATACACAGCATACAGCTGTGTGCCCACCAGCGGCACGGTGCAAAGCGCGCTGCACGGTTCGTCCCAGTAGCCCAGTTCTTTAGAACGCCTGCTTTCCGATCCACCCACCCGTGGCGGGGTGAGTTCGAGTCGCTTCAGACGCTTGTTTGTCGCCCCTGACAGCTAGGCCGTCCGTCGGTGGCAGCGGCCGCGCTTAAGGTCAGGTGACGTCATGGGTCAGGACGGACGGTGCCTGCATTGCAGCGCGATAAACTTCGGCCACCCAATTCTGCCGTTGACCTAGAATTGCGTGATCGGGTGGAAGGGGTAAGGGTTCACACACTTAGCACTGCTTAACGTAGCTCTGGCGCCGGAAATCCACCCATTCAAAATTTTCCGATTAAATCTAACAAGGCACACTCACGCGCATGCCCACACCGCCAGTGGTTCAGTGCCCCAATCAAATGACGGCGCATGTCAAAAGTGTCCACATATTTATCTTTGAAAAGCGTCCAACTTCAGTCCGCCTAGCCCCACTGAGATCTTAAGACACCCGTGAGTCTCCTGGCACAGCTGGCCGAAGATGATCTCTCACGGCTCTGTCGCATGCCCAGTCTTACCGTAACACTGAATCATTGACAGGAAATGCCGCACCGCCAGCGGCCGTCGCAGCCCGCCGACCCAGCTGACTACGCTGCCACCCGGCCCAGCGAGACAGCGCGCCGGAAGATGTCGTGCGACCAAGCCGAACGATCGAGGCGGCTGAAGGAGAAACCAGTCACGACGAGCGTCTGGACTTCGTTAATTACATCAATAAACCTTTGTCGGAGACCAAGTGAAAAGACCGGCGGGGAGCGCCGTGTGGATGCGGGCCGAAGGCTGTCGCTGCTCAGGTCAGATATTCGGCTCGTCTCTCCGCCGTCTGCTGAGCCTGCCGCCGTCCTCAGCCCGCGGCCTCTGAGTGCGCCCCGTGCCGCGGCCCGCCCGGCTGCACCGGCGCGGCGGGTTATGTGCAACGCACGTCAGTGGCCGAGCGGGCTCGGCGTCTGCCGCCGGAGCTGGACACGGGATGACGGGGGTGAAGCGTGACGTGTCACCCGGCGCGGCCCGGCCCGGTCCGGTCCGGTCCGCGCGGCCGTCTCAGCCGGCTGTGGCCGCCCGCAGTCTGCCATATTAGGCCAGCGGCCGGGTATGGCGCTGCCGCCGCCGGCGGGGCGGACTGCGCCGCACGGCCCGCCGCCCCGCCACCGGCGGGTATCGCGGCGGACGCCGCGTGCACCCCCAGCGAGAACCAGGCCGATCGTGGTCCGCGACAGGCGGGTGAGGGTTTGTGTCAAAGCCATCCGTCTGCCCCAGCTCTAGGCACGCCCTACCCCGACCGCGTTTGCATGGAGCCGATGACCCGGCGGGCGGGACTGCGTCGCGCCGTGAGCCGCCGACCCATCGGAGCCTACCACCGGCCCATCGAAGCCCACCTCTGGCCCACCGGAGCACACCACCGACCTACTGGAGCCCTTCACCGGCCCACCGGAGCCCACCACCGGCCCACTGGAGCCCTTCACCGGCCCACCGGAGCCCACCACAGGGCCACCGCAGACCATCTCCTGCCCACTGAAGCCCACCACCGACCCATCGGAGCCCACCTCCGGCCCACCGGAGCACACCACCGGCCCATCGAAGCCCACCCCCGGCACACCGGAGCACACCACCGGCCCACTGGAGCCCTTCACCGGCCCACCGGAGCCCACCGCAGACCCACCGCAGACCATCTCCTGCCCACCGGAGCCCACCAACGGCCCATCGGAGCCCACCTCCGGCCCACCTCCGGCCCACCTCCGGCCCACCGGAGCACACCACCGGCCAACTGGAGCCCATCACCGGCCCATCGGAACCCACCACCGGCCCACCTTAGCCCACCTTCAGCCCACCGGATAGCACATCAAGCCCACGAAAGCCCGCCACCGAACCACCTCCAGCCACCGGAGCCCACCACCGGCCCACTGGAGCCCTTCACCGGCCCACCGGAGCCCACCACCGGCTTTCCGTTGGCTGCGGCCGGCCGCCCCGCCAGCGGACGGGGCCGGTCCAGGCAGCGGCCGGTCTGCGTCCGTCCGGCCGGTTTTTGTGCAATGTATGAAAGATGGCGGCGATTGGCTGGGTCGGTAGGACGGCCCTTATCAGACTTGACGCTGGCCGGTGACGAGTTTTTGTCGAGCCGACCGGCGGCTCAGCAGGGGCCACCTGCGTGCGCGGCCGGCCCCTGCGACCTGGGGCAGCAAGGAGCCACACCCGACGGGCGAGCTGAGGTGACACAGAGCCGCGCCTGAGGGACGAGCTGGGTTGACACAGAGCCACAGCTGAGGGCCTGGTTGGGGTGGTACAGGGCCACAAATGAGGCCGGGTTGAGATGGCACAGAGCCACGGATGAGGCCGGGTTGAGATGGCACAGATCCACGGCTGAGGGACGAGCTGATGTGGCACAGAGCCACGGCTGAGGGACGAGCTGAGGTGGCACAGAGCCACGGCTGAGGGACGAGCTGATGTGGCACAGAGCCACGACTGAGGGACGAGCTGAGGTGGCACAGAGCAATGGATGAGGCCGGGTTGGGGTGGTGCAGAGCCACGGCTGATGGGCGAGCTGAGGTGGCACAGAGCCACGGCTGATGGGCAAGCTAAGGTGGCACGAATCCACTGTGTCGGTATGTGGTTCAAGCAGGAGTGAGCTGCTTCGTCCCACAACGCTGTTGGTGGTAGGTAGAGTTGTTTCGAAGGTCTTAGACCTTTCAGAAATTCAAGAACTGTTCATGCATCACAAACGAATAAACAGTAAATATATTTAATGCCATACATGATTCAGTTATGTACTCCATGATGCCACTATCAAGACATTTGCTAAAAAAACGTCACTATAAACACCAGGTTTAATTACTTGAGCAGACACAGCTTCTTGTTAGGTCCATGCCGTCTGTCGCCGACCGAAGCAAATTAATTTGTTGCGCAGTTTGTTTAGGGGATTTTAATTTCGTAACGCCTTCAGATATCACTTTTTTGGTATGCCGGACCTGCAATGACGCAATGGCAAAATCGTTGGGTGGTTTGGTACTGCAAGACCAATGTCATTTCATGGTGAAGGTATCATAAACCATGAAAGTCGTTCTGGCGTAAATGCTACTGACTTCGATGGATGGTAGATTAATCATCAGGCCTGCAGTCGGCGGCCATTTTTAAATGACAGATTGCGCTTCGAAATCGATCGCCAGCCTTCAAAGTGCGTGGTCTTTTGCCAACCGACTCACGGCGCCCGTTTTACTTGAGCGTCCAGGAGAGCCAATCTCAACAGCGGCCAGTGACGCACGGCGCTGGAGGCGCGGGCGGCGCGGCCAGGTCCCACGGCGCCGCCGCCACCCTGTTTGTCGCCGCTCCCGCAGCTCATTGGGAGGCGCGCCGCCGTCGCGCTGTGCACCATTGTTTACAAATGGTGCGGCGGGCGCGAGCCCGGCAGCGACCGGCGACGCCCGGCCACAGCGCCATCTCCCGATGTGGCCACGCATCCCCAGCCACCGGCGCCCGCTCACGCTGCGGCAGACAGCAGTGGCCTCTTGTGCGCGCGCTGTGAAGCTCTGGTACCGAAACTTTCCATCGGAGGCACGTGATCCCGTCGCTTGCAGCCTTACGTCGGCCGACCCTCGTAGCCATCTGCAGGCCAGACGCAGTGGCGGAGGCGGGACTCGTCACGCGGGGGCCGGGACTGTGGACTCGCCGAGGACGCCCTCCGTGATGTTCCTTGACCAGCAGGACAGCGCTCTTGATGAGAAAAAGTCGGCATAGACGTTGTCCTGCAGGCAAAGCCACCACGCTCACGTCTATTTGCGGGGTTCAGCCACAAACAACACAGCTGCGATCGAAAACGGAGCCAGATGATCCTGCCCGTCAGAAGGATCATAATGACTCGTGGCCGGCAGCATGGAGTTTTGGAGGCATCGTTCACAAGAATGAGAGATATGTTCTGGCGACTATCGGTTACGCCGCGCTATTCTCAAGCCGAATGTCTGCCGGCGTTTTTATCAACCGTAATCAAACGAATATAAGGCTTCAAGCTTTCTTGGAATCATTCTGCTCAGAGGGTTCTTTGGCCTTTTTACTCCTCGCGAGGAGCCAGTGGGCGGTCGTCACACACCGTCGGACAGTTACATTGGTTGTACACGCCGGTGACGTCACGCCTACCGGTGACGTCACGCTCGTCAGCAGAGCGGCGTCGTGCAGCACTCACGTATATCTGCGGGCAGTTGTGTCGGGCGTACCACTCGGCTGTGTAAAAAGTCATGTCGATGCCAACGCCGAGCGACAGGGTGATCCAGAGCAGCACGTTGCCAGCCGCGCTGCGCACGTTCATGAAATGCAGCAGCACTGCGCACAAGCGAGGTCAGAGGTCAGGCGTACGCTTCCGGCGCGGCCCGCGCCCCACCGGCGTGTCAACAGATCTCAAAAGATGATGCGTGCCGCCATCGACGAGACAACACGGACACAGTCTACAGGCATTGTGCTCCGAACACAGTCATGGACACTCCCTCACCTGATGGCGTTCACTGGCATTGCGTCTTGCGCGGACCAAGCATACAGGCATCGTGTCTTCAATAGACTAGGTCCACAGGCATCGCGTCCGCGACAGATTCGGTTCACAGGCACTGCGTCCCCAACAGATTCGGTTCACAGGCACTGCGTCCCCAACAGATTCAGGCCATAGGCATGGCGTCCCCAACAAATTCAGTCCACAGGCATGACGTCCCCAACAGATTCAGTCCACAGTCATCGCGTCATCAACAGATTCAGTCCACAGGCATGGCGTCCCCAACAGATTCGGTTCACAGGCACTGCGTCCCCAACAGATTCAGTCCACAGGCATGGCGTCCCCAACAGATTCAGTCCGCAGGCATCGCGTCCTCGACAGAGGCAGCCTTCGAGTAACCACAGTTTCACAAGTAGCTAGCACTCACCGCCGAACACGCCGAACTGAAGGAACAGTATGGGGAAGAAGAAGTTGAAGACAAACATGAGCGTGTACTCGTGCACGATTGACGAGACGACGAAGACGGCCAGCGTAGCCATCAGCTTGCCGCGGTACCGGACCACGTCCTGCGGATCAGGGGTACCGTACAGCTCACCACCGTACTCCAGCCGCCGGCTCACGAGTGCTGTACAGACCCGTCATGTTCACAAACAGCTCACTCACTGACAATGTGGCGCAGGTTGTTCCGTTACATGTTGCACATGCGCACAGCTGCAAATGTCAGCAACTGCCAATGGAACCTTGGCAGCTGAACAAGTGTCTCTTATCTTTAACTCTTCGGTATGGTTCATGTTCATGAAATGGAGTGAGTTAAAACCCGGTCAGTCAGCGAACATCACGTGCAAAGTCACTCATATTCAGATTGAAATGTTCATTTCGTACTTAAGGTAGACAAGCAAGACCTGTAGCTTCCGGGGTTTTCAGCACCAGTAATCTTCGCAGGGTCCATGACATTGCCGAAATTATCGTTAGCTCAAGAATGATCTTTAACATGACAATGATTGTACCTTTTCTACTTAAATTCGACAAGCCACCAACGAAAAGTTTTTCCAAAACGTCCGTTTTTTTTTTTACTTGTTTGAGTCACGGTAAAAATACAGTCTTTGCCATTTTAAAGGCAATTCGTTACCAGGGGTACTGGTTATGCGGCGATATCAAGCAGCCATTCGGATGCATCATGAAACACGCCAACGTTTCAAGGTCGTGCTCATGGTCACATATCAGCATCAGCCATCACTCGTGAACTTGGACACTGCTTTGAAACGTTGAGCATTTTCACCACATGTCCTAATAATTGCTTGATGTCGTCGTTAAACCAAAGCACCCTAGCATACTGAAGACAAAATATTTTCAGTACGCGATCTCACAATGCTTATTTCGTGGTGAGGTGGCTGGTGGAAGTTGTTCAACCATTGTCAACATAAGCCAGATTTTGACCTTGCATTCCAGCCAAGAAGCCTTTCCAGTTTTTTGCCTGCTTGAAAACCCCACTATGCACCCGATTCTTTCGCAGACTCATTAGTTGCAGCATCACTCACACGCCTAAGAGAACTTTCAAACAAACAGAAAGCTACGCAATCAAACTGTGTTCAGCTGCACTTCGGCGCAGTTCTCACCGAGTAGATGTATTCATACAGCCAGTCGTGGACCACAATATTCCACGTGCGGTAGAAGCTGGCGTAGTTGGTAACATTCCACCAGTCCTGAGGAACATACGCGAGCGAATGTTAGAATCCAACTCACACATCGCCAAAGGCTTCATGCTCAGTCAAACACGTAACCAACCGATAAAACTTTGAAACACCAGCATGCGCGCAAATCGTCATAAAAACGGCATAAACGCTGGATGTGGTTCTAGAGATAAATATTTCGTTGTTTTGAGGATTTCGTTTAATAACCATAAGCTCTTCAACATTATTTTATGAGAAACAGGGGCGGTGCCACAGTTTTGAGTTAGAGTAAGGGGGTAGGATTTTCCGGGGGCCTCCTGGACAAAATGGGGCCTCCCCGCAGGGGTCCTCCCGTGCAGTGCGATATTCAAGGGAAAAGAACACCGAGGGCTTATGCCCCCTGATCAGATTGCTACATAAATCATATCCGAAAAAAAGAACTATAATTATCCAACAAATGGCCTCGCTGACTTAAAACATGGCCTCCTGTTCCGGAAAAGAGCCTCCCGATGCATAGAGGGGCCTTTTTATCCAGACCAGGATGTTTACGATTCACGAAGGGCCTCCAGATCTAGCCAAGTGGCCTCGCTATCCCAAAACCGCATCCTGATCCGGAACCCCGGCCATGTGGTACATAAAACGGGCCTCCTGCTCTAAACATAGGGCATCTTGAATATGGATAATATGAAGTCGCAGTGCGTGCGTGTAAATTAGCGCCGAAAGTATGGACGTATATATGCGGAATTGATTTAAATACATTAGGCGCTAGAGCAGGTCCTGATTATAAGAGAGGAAGCGAGAAATGCAAGCGAGGAATCAACGTGGTGCAAGGGAACCGTAATCAAATCAGCTATTCAAGCCCTGGTGCCGTGATCGGTAACGTATGCACAAATCTTCACTTCAAATTGCTGGCAAAAATGCTAGACTTCCCGATTTGATACGGCCCGATATATGTTGGGACGTGCAAGGTACCTGATGTAAGTTTGGTTTTGAAGATAACGTACGCTGCCATTTCTTCTATATCACCGGTTTAGTGCACCGCATTGCGGTCAAAAACCGTGCTGGAAGGCTGAGCCAGTCGCGTGAGCCAGACGGGAAAATTACGTATTTTGTTTGCTTTCACATTCAGTAAGGCGTTAATAAATCACACGGAGGGCGGTCGTCGTCAGTTATTTGACAGGAATTGGCTTGATCTTCTGATTAACTGATTCCATATGTTCGCTTGGTGCCGAAAACAATATCGTTGGGACGATTAATGGTAAGCCGGCAAACAATAATCATCGATACACATCGCACGAAGTTGGCTTAAATTCCGCCCAGTTCTAATTGAATGCTTTTGCACGTAGGATAGATATCCAGCAAGACAGTTACCGTCAATAAATCGATCAAATGTTGATGACATCTGGCATAGAAACCGGCCACCAGCCTAGCTGAAGCAGGGCGCATTTAAGGCATACATGTGTTATTTCTTCGAACCGTCACACACAGAGACGCGCGGGCTGTCATGTCGGCACTGCACACAAGCTCAGTGTTGGCCAGTGTCTTCGTGTCACTATTCTGGCAGCTTAAATAACAGGAGCATGCCAGGACGCCAAACTCAGAGTAACTTCCGCAACAAACCTTCGTGCCGGGGTCTCCGACATATGGCTCACGTGGCTGATTATAATTGGCTCTCGGGCCAGTAATACGAATCTGCTTGATTCCTAGAGATGCAAAAACGACGTCAGTCAATGAGAGCCAAGACGCTGCTCTCTAGAGTTCTTGTTCATGAAGCTCAGGGCTGCCTCAGGGATGTGCGCTCCCGACCTGAACAAGGGGCTACATTCAAGGGGGGCTATTGGAGACAATGAAATGACGATTACAATGACGAGTTTCACTCTGCGTCTCAGTGCGCAGGTCTGCCTGAACAACGTAATGAAGTGGAGAAATATCGGTGAAACCTTCACTTGAAAATGCGAATTCTTAGGCAGCAATACAGGACGGACGAAACAAACTGCATTTTTCAATTCAATTGGCATTTAAATTTCAATAGAAATTATGATAATCCAAACTCGACTATGTGTCGAAATTTCAATAGCATTTCAACAATAGGTCGCAGTATATTTATACTGTTGCCTTGTTTTTATTAAAACCACTTAGTGTTAAACCGACTCGGACATTTCGCAGCGTCAGGTGCACTGTCCTGGAAAATTATAATCTATGACGCGAATCATAACCAATGGTTGAGCGAGCGCTTAGCGGCGCACGGACGCCTCAGCTTCACTTCTTCAGTCAGTCTTGTCGTCGTCTTGACTGTCGTCGCTGGATATTGCGTCATACAAACTAGGACTGAGGAGGCAGGTAGCTGCGTGCGGTCTGGTCACTGTGTCACCAGTGGTTTAGGCGTGCAAGAGAGCGACTAAGCCTCATTACGCCGAGGGTCCCGCGCCGTGATGGCCTCAGTGCGTCAGGGTATGTCCTGCGGAAGAAAGCAACTACCACTCACTGCGTTGAATCCGATGTGATCCACATAAAGACGAAGTGTGGCTTCCATGTAAGCCAGGTTAATGAGGAGGGACAGCTGAACTTTAAGACCAGCCGGAAGCCTGAGACGGAATTTCTCAAAGGGTACCAATTAGATATGATTAAATTTGATTTCACACGTTTGTCTGTTCACGAATATGGTGGTGGAAGCAACAATAAAAAAACCCAAAACAACCAAATGATGTGCATGTAAACGAAGCATAAAATAGCTCCGAAAAGCCATGTGACGTCAAATCAGTCAGTCAAATCAAATCGTCAGTCAAATGTCATGTGACGTCATATAACTTTCCTCGGGGCCCAAAACGAAGCGATATTAGGCAAAGAAAGACACATCTACCATCGTGCTACTTAAACCTTGCTAACCAATGAATCCTCAAATGTACATTTCCCCCTTATGCTATGCATTTTGGCTCATCTGTACTAACCAGATCATGCACTTGTGACAAACAAAACGTGGTCATGTTGACAACTTTTGAGCAGCCCCAGAATGCAGTCAATTTTGAAGACCCTGATGTCGCAACAAATCGCATTAAATAATGACTGCTAGCATTTTAATGAATGCTCAGTAACATGCTTTGGAATCAACTTCATTATTTAAAGAATTTGTTACAAAATCCACGAAACAAAGTAAAGCCGTGGCAATGCCGTAATAGACACCGGAATGCTGCCAATAATTTTTCTTACACTGGCGGGCGGTGATCACACAAATCCTGTCAGTTATTACCCACCGTTTTGATTCAATTTCTTTCGCTTCAGCCAAATATTGCTACGCTTTCCAAAACATTTTAAAGACAACGCTCTGGGACGATCGTCGCGAATTCCAATCATGCACGGATGACTTCGACTGAAGACGCTGTTGTCGTAATCAAATCCCAGAAAGTGACGCGATGGCCGATTCCTTCCACCATAATCTTCGGATTCTGGTAACGGATCCCAACACAAGCTGAATGAGCGCCGCTAGTCCTGCGAATACACATCACAGTGGTCTCAAGGCTAACGGGAGCAACATCAGGATATCCTATGATGTGTGTTCTTTTGCCCTCACGGTCCTCAGCGGCTAATGCAGGCCCACGAATCAAAGGGTGGCTAGTAGTGTTTTAGTTACGAGTCACAGCCTTGTATTGGCAACTTCATGGTTCAAGTCAACCGCTTAAGGCAATTCTGGATCTTCAAGTGCACGAGCACCTCATGGACCACGATAGCCACGCGCGAAGGACCGTCCACATAGGCAAGGCCCACGCCGGAAGTCCCAGCTGAGACGGCCGATGCCTTTTGACGTGAGGGAGAAGGATGATCATGTGACGCTGTCATCTTCCGAACAATGACTCCAGCCGTCTGGAGCCGTCTGTCCGGACCAGCGAGGAAAGGGGCCGACCACTGCCGGTAGCATCGGGGACGGGCCGGGCCAGGCGGTAACGACCCGGCATCGGCGCGCGGCCCGGGCAGCGATGACCCGGCATCGGCGCGCGGCCCGGGCGGCGATGACCCGGCATCGGCGCGCGGGCCCGGGCCGGTCCGGAGTGTCGCACTGAGGCAGTCCACACGGCTGCGATCGCATCTGCACTGTGCGAGCGCACGGGGAGTCGCCAAGTTTGTATTGATGATTTGCGGATGATTTGATTTACTGATGGTTCGGAATTGAACTGCGATTCCACGCGTCGAGGTCTGTACAGACGACTCCAAGGTGACATCTGATTTGGAAGTTACATTTTGGGGGTGAACAAACATTTTCTTTATTTCATCACCCCAAATATTGTATTGGCTAATATCATCTTTTCTGCGCCGGCAAAACTGCGATGCAGTTGCAAAACATTCATTTCATTGAGCATATTTCAGTCATTATGCCACTTTCTGACGTCATGAACGACGGGCAAGAGCAGGGCGCTGTGGTCTTGAGGCCTCAGAACCACAATTAAAACACAACAAACCTTCAACGCCAGGTTTCGCTCAGATCTGAGAATGTTAAATCGCACTTCTATTGGTTCAGTTTACGTGGAATAACCTGCTAGATGTGCTAAACTGCATGAGGCGGCTCCGACACAGGCATGTTTTTATGCAAGCCGTGCAGGGTGTTCCGAGCCACTTTCTTTTGATGGGAAGGAGCGCAAAAGTTTTTTGGAGCGGCCCATGTTTGCATCGTCGGCATGATGCAACTTACTTATAGAACCATACACCAACTGCAAAAATGTGGTGGCTTTTCGTCCCGTTGTTTGAGGCTGTTTTGAGCATGTGTCAGACTCAGAATATCTTGACGTCGCACGTTCCCAAAGTTAAGGTGGTGACGTCACCAGTATAGAGCTACTGACAAAACTGCAGATTCTGCATCGATCGCTTGACGCTACCAAGAATCAAGACTTCAGAGACCGAGATTGGTTGCAATTCCTCAATATACCTCAGGTGGCTTTTCAATCTTATTGCCCCAACTTACTTCCCATAGTGGATGCACACAAAAGTATTGGGTCTTTGCTTACGGCAGTTTTAGACTTGGCTGGACGTTCAATGAAACACTTCTAGCTGCGGACGACTAAGCAGTATCCCATTGTGCGGTTTTAGCTCAAACATAAGGAATAGATTACCTCTTGAACAGAACGCACGCCATATAAACAGCCCGCCTAGTAGTCTCCAAACGTTATTTCCAGACGTAAATTTGCTTCACTAGATGTTTAGCATATCGAGTAACTCACGGATGAAGGGAAAATGCTATAAGTGATGGGGTATCATATTTAGGCAACACTGGGCACTTCACCCTATTTGTGCGCGGCACACTACCCGAATATGACGCGGGACCGATTCGAATTCCCATTCCCTTACCCAGATCCAAGCATGGCCTGGTCGGATCTAGACGGGAGGGTTCTGAGCGAAAGCTAAACAAATCCTAAAAACTCCGCTTTTAGCCGGGCTTAGCCATGTGCACGCCACGCCATTTGGCGTGTTGGCTTCCGCACAGGTGTCTGGACGTTCAGCTACTTCCTAGTACTGGCCGTTCCCTGCGACCCCAGCCTCGATCCACGCCTAGATCCGGTCGTTCTCCAGCTCCTCGTCCTCCCACTCCCAGGTCTCCAGCTCTTGTAGCTTCCCCAGCCACCACGCCTGACACGCGAGTCCGATGGCCGCCTGGGCGACCCCAGGTCCGCGTCCGCCAGTCCTGCCGCGCGCCCAAGCCCTCACCTGGTAGGAAACCATGCGGTCGGGCGAATCGGGTCATCTCGGCGAAGGCGTTCATCCAGGGCGTGCAGCAGAGCCGAAAGAAGCCGCACAGGTAGTTCAGAGTCATGCCTGGGCATAACGCTGCCCGGAACACGTGCCTACCACCAGGTGGGCGCAGGGTCACCGGACCCAGACCGTACCGCTGTGGAAGGGCGGCATGGAAGAAGCGCTCCAACAGGACGATTGTAGACCACGCAGCCGACCACCTGCGCCAGGGTGCAGCACGACGCGCCCCCAACGCACCCGGTCCGTCCTGAGAGGCGGAGGGGGCCGGTCACAGGGTCAGCATCAGCCCGGCCCGTCCTGAGGTAGACCACGCAACCGACCACCTGCGCCAGGTGCAGGCACGACGCGCCCCAACGCACCCGGGGCCGTCCTGAGGGCGAGGGGCGGTCACGGGTCAGCATCCTCTCGCCCGGCCCGTCCTGAGTAGACCACGCAACCGAACCACCTGCGCCAGGTGCAGCACGACGCGCCCCCAACGCACCCGGTCCGTCCTGAGGGGCGGAAGGGCGGTCACAGGGTCAGCATCGCCCGGCCCGTCCTGAGCAGTGCAGGGGTTATCACAGGAGCGACATCAATCGCCCCATCCTGACGGGTGGAGGGCCGGCCATCAACAACCAGGGCTGGATACCGTTCGGCGTCTGAAAGGCGTGGCACAAGCTTAGTTTCCAGCTGGAATGTCATTTGATCATTGGAATGAATGGAATGACATTCAATCATGTGTGTGATCTATGGTTTGGCTCTAGGACGCCATCGTGCAAGGCCCATGTCGTGGTTCGAGAGCCTGCGTCGAGAGGCCCGCCCGTCCGCCAGCGAGCAAACGGGTGACATTCGCCTCCAGCAGGAGCGGAATCCGACAAGTTCTGCACTCTGGCTGGTGTCAGGCGCACCAACACCGGGAATTTCAACACCGGCGAGCTCGCTGCCGACATGTTCATGAACACGAATGAAAGCGTATTAGCTGCACTGTTGCAGCAAGGAGAAAACATACGTGCACGCTGCTGCCGAGAAAGCCGGAGCTCAATACCAAGTCTCACCTGGGGTAGCTGTCCCTGTACACCAGAGTGGGTACGAACATGAAGAGGAGGAATGTGCTGAAGTTGGGACATCTGTCCAAGTCCTTCGTCTCAGGGGCTCTTGCCCGAACCACAATGGAACGAACGAACGCATACACTTTCATGAATAGACGAATCTGTGAATAAAAGAAGAATGCAACGATTTAGCAAAAATGCGTCAGTTTGTAATGCTGCAAGATGTTCGATACGGCAGAAGGCATTTCAGTGAAGTAAAATTTGCTGCTTCTGTCGTTGCATTCGCACACTCGAGGCTAACCGTCTGGACTCCTGGCGTTTATGCTCCGCTGCAAAAGTAATGAAGGCACGCTTTTCACCGTGCAAGTCCTCTCGCACAACTTGGCACAGCAAAGTTTCTGGTCTGAAAAGCTGCGACTACCCAGCCCAACACCTTCAAACCTGCTCCAGTAGAACGATGAAGGAGGAGGCTGGCGGCAGCCTGTGCTGCATTACCACGACAGCAGGCAGGTAGAGCAGACAGCCACAGTACGCCACGAACGTGGAGGAAAACAGCCAGTCGAACAACACTGCAACGCGGGCACCGGGTTATGAACGTTTCAAAAAGATGCAGCGCGTATCCGGACTTAAAATAGAGCACAGACGAACACTCTATCTGTCTAGAGCGTCAAGAGTCTATCTATAGACTACCAAGAGCGTCATGTCGACATCCGCTAATGGTGGCGCCAGGTCGTCAGCGGCGCCAGGTCGTCAGTGGCGCCAGGTCGTCAGTGGCGCCAGGTCGTCAGTGACACCGCCGCTGCGTCACCTGCCTGGGCTGGACGAGCGGTGTGTGGCCCAGAAGTGGAAGGTCGGGTACACGAGGAAGATGACGGAGCAGAACATGAGCAGCCAGGTCTCGGCCGTCACCCGGACACCTCCGAACGCGTACACCAGCAGGCTCGGGCTCAGACTCAGCCTGTCAGACACACGGCACTCGGACACCTCCGAACGCGTACACCAGCAGGCTCGGGCTCAGGCTCAGCCTGCCGGACACACGGCACTCGGACACCTCCAAACGCGTACACCAGCAGGCTCGGGTTCAGGCTCAGCCTGCCGGACACACGGCACTCGGACACCTCCAAACGCTCACACCAGCAGGCTCGGGTTCAGGCTCAGCCTGACGGACACACGGCCGCGCCGGCAGTGTCGGCAGTTATACGGAGATAACGCGACTACCGCACTCGCCCCCGAGAACGCCGGCAGCTTTATGCAGATGTCGATTATCAACGACAGGCTGTAAGCAAATGCCCAACGTATCGTGGCGCGGCAATGGAAAACATACGCACGGTAAATGAATTAATGACAGAAAGGCTGATCTGGATTGCATGACGCCGAATTTCCAAGACATGTTTCAGGTGACCCATTATCACTGCGTCACCATACAAACGCCACACTCACGTGCCGTGCTCCACCATGTCGATCAGGATGGCGTGCGTGAAAAGCAGCACCAGCATGGCCACGAAGATGTGGTAAATGGTGCGGATGTGGCTGATGTGGAACAGCTCCGTAAGCAGAGACTCCCGCGGAACAAACCGTTTTCCGTGATCCCTGTCAAGCGATCAGGTCATTTCATAACTGAGAAAGGTCGCGCGCACAGCAAGTCATGTAAGGTGCTATTCTGGCGCCTGCCTGATGGTTGTGCGGATGTATTGTCTGGACCACTAGGCTGCGGCTTGTGAGGCTTTGGCGTGTGGATTGTGTGGGTCGTAACCGTCGTGAACCATGAATTAAAAGCACAAAAGTGTCGAACAGCGTTTAGTTATCGAATAGCGTTTCCTGAGATCGAACTTGTCATGATGGAATCCAGAAGAATCGCCATGAATGACTTGTCACTAGTTTAAAGAGCACCATTGGTGATTTCTTTCCCGCCATCTTTGCACTCCTCCACACCCAAATCACGAAATTTTATACCAGACTGACAAACCAGCAAACAAAAAATTGCTGCATACGCTAATTTTCTATTTTTCATTTACCTCTTTTTCGCTTACGAATAGCTGTCTCGCCCCCGGCAAAACACCAATTCACGACAAAATTAGACTTTATTAACTGACACATATTGCGGTCCAGGCAAAAGTTAATGTCACTTTCTAAAATCAGTTGTGGTGGGACGTAGTCGATAACGTTGACCTCACCTAAACTCCCTCCCCCCCCCCTCCCCAACCAGATTGCTACCCGCATCGCATCGACTTCAGCTTACGTTCCGGGAGTTTCGAAGAAATATTGCTGATTTTTTGTCGGTTAAAAATTGCTTTGCCGCGGGCAATGCAAGGCTTTGCATTCTGCAGCACAATTTGTTCATTTTATTTCATTTCATTGCATTGAACTTGCATTCCAGTGTCAATTACAAGCCTTAGCTGTAATTATGTGAGAAGCTTGAAATGTGTTGTGATTCACAGCAAAACATATAATTTAAACGGCACAACACGGTCGACGAAATGGGTTATATCTGACGTTCACTGCATGTGGTCCGAGACGCACAAAGACGGTTTTGTTCCAAGTGGCCTGGTCTGACACATGCGGACGAAAGGATAAGGACCATATGCTGATATATCTGTGTCTTAAGGGTGCAATGGAACCCCATGGGATGGACCCCTAGGCCCAATGGTAGGCATGGCTGACATCACAGACCCCATGGCAGACATGCACCATATAGCGAAAAATTCACCATGGCCCAAGTGTATTACATACCGTTTATTTAACCCATGTTGTACCATTTCCCCTTTTATGCACCATGCCTTTATAAGAGAATCAAATCTGTTAGGTGAAATATTCCAGTGTGTCCACAATGTACCGGGTTGAAAGCTGCTTTTGACGTCATAATGTTCTGCTCATTTCAAGAACAACAAGGAAACTGTTTTTGGTGTACCAGACACATTCACTGTTTTTTTGTAGGCTGATTAGCATTGGTGTCTGCCTGTTTCACTCCCTCACAAGTTACCCACTGTACACAGCAGCAGTGCAGCTGCGCCTCACACTCTGGCCACGTGCGTGGCGTCAGTCACCTTCTGGAGCCGGCGACGTGCCCGTTCGCGAGCGGAGGCGCGGCGGTCGCCTGCAGGCCGGACACGTGCCGCTCCATCAGGCCGGAGAGGTGGCTGGTGAACTCGGCTACCGTCCGGCCCTGCAGCTCCTGCGCCACACACAGCCGACGTCTCAGTCCGGGCCGGCACTCTCGGCCACGGCCGGCATGGCTAGCGGCCGCGCAGTACGAGTCCCACCAGACCGACCGCATCACACCTCGAGCACGGAAGTTCGTTACGCATATGATCGTGAGCGCTAATGGGCATGCATGCTAATATTTAAACCGCAGATGTTCGTATCGCAGGTGTTCGCTATTACTAATGTTCGTAGAGCTAATGCGGGCAAATGCTAAAGTTTCCACGCGCTTATGCATGCGTGCTTGTGAACGGGAATGCTCGTATCGCAGATGTTTATTATGCAAATGTTCGCAAATGCAAATGACCGTGTGATAGATATTCGTAACTTGAGCCCTGAGAATGCTCTTGGCAGATATCAATTATTATGCGTCCTGCCTTCAGCGGCCCTTGAGGCCTTCAGGGGCTGTATCTGCCTTTTAAATCGATGACACCGTAAAACTGCTACGGGCAGAAGCATTGATGATAAATCTATCATGTCACAAATCCTTCAAATAAAGTCCCTACACAATCTAATTGTCACGCGACAACAGGCTACAAGCAAAAATTTTACGCCACACTGCCGCTGAAAAACTACCACGGACCAAACTTTTACACGACAAACATCTACAAACAAAACACTCAGGCACACCAACCCTCCACAGACAATGCTTCAAAGCCGATTATTCCTAAATAACAATGCTTCCCCCGACAAAGTTCTACACAGGTTCACTTCTGCCGAAAAAACTTCAAATATAAAGCAATTACGTTACGAAATTTCTCAGACATTTCTACCCAGTCCTCTGTCGTCCTGTCGGTAGTCATAAGGCCACTTATTCCACTGACGTCATCATCTCCTGTTCGATCAGATGACTCCTGGACACCTCGTGGCGCAGCTCTCAAACCAATATTACGGAAGACCGATGACGTCACGGGACCACGGGACTTGGCGGTGAAATAGCCGGATGACCGTACCTGGCATACAGGGTCTCACTCCCATCGGCATTATTCCAACACGACACAAACGTGTAATAAGTAGCTATCTAAATGCTCAAGCATTTAGAAAGCTACTTATGCACACTCACATATGATCAGTTCTACGCACAATACTTCTGCCATAAAACCTCCCATGCGATTAAGCGTCTGCAGGAAAAATCGTCCAGAACAAACCCTCGAAACGTTTACGCGACATAGCCCCAACACGGCAAAACTTCCACGTGCAAAACCTCCCCAAAACAAAACATCTCTGGATAAAACTAAAACGGTCTAGACATTAAGGCCGCAAATATGCGTGCTAGCAAAACTCCGACGCGACACGTGACTGCAGCTAGAGTTGGAGATTTCCCGTGGAAGAGAGGGGAGTGTGAGAAGAAATGGGTTCAGAGTGCGGAACATATAGCGCACCCAGTCTTATAGTAGTCTTGGAGGGAGAGTGCGGACCGGGGTAAAAGATGCCGGTCTGGAAGGTTCGAATGACCGCTACACTACGTTAGGAAGTACTGCTGATCTGGCATCGAAGCGACAGAGCCACTGTTGGTTGTTTAAGATGTTTTGTGCGTACGGCAGCAAGCTCGCAAGGCTGGGCTGAAATAAATTTGATTTGTAATAGCTCAGCAGAGGTTGATGTTGATACCCGGAACCCAACGCATCAGCAGTAGTGTCATCTCAGAAAAAGGGCAGGTTTTTACATGCACCTTTCTTGTAGACCCATAACCTTTGCACATGGTTTTCGTGCCATGACGTAGCGAAGCAAGACTTCAGGTCGTCGAGCGAATAAACAGCTTTGTGCGACAGATAGTGGTGCAGATCAGCAACATGCACGAGCCGTCGCGTCCAGAACAAAACTATGCACGCAGCCATCTGGCGGCTATGACCGCGAATGGCTCGACCCACCAGTGGGTGACCCTTGATGGGGGCACGAGCCCTCGAAGACCCTTCGGCCCCTCGGGGCAGGCGATCAAAGGCTCGATTGAGTGCCCGAACAGCTGGCCGCAGGTGGTATTAACGGACCCCCGACCGGAGGGGTCCGCCCTCAAATGTCAGTCAGAGGGCGCTTTGAGGCAATCGGAGACCCCCTGGATCGACGACCGGCCTCTATGTCGGCCAGGCGTCATCAGTACCGCACAGTAGGCTCCGTGTCGGTCTGAGTCTGAGTGTTTATTTCCGCCGCAAGGAAATAGACGTTGGGGACCCTGAGTCAATGCGCGGCCCCGTGTATCGGTCAGGGGATAGTATGTTGGCAAGGGGTCCCAGAGCCGATCAGGCGCCCAGATTCGACCAGGAGCAGTGGTAGAAAGGGCCGAAAAGGGGTCAAAAGAGTCATCGCGACTGACGTTGAACGGCACGATTGGAGGGCACGAACCTGCGACAGCCTGACTAAAGGTCATATAAAGAGCCCTGGCCGGTAAGGCCGGGCCTTCAAATGCCAATCAGAGCGACTCCTGCACCCACTGGGGGTCTCCTGTGACGGCGCCAGCATCTAGGCTCTATGACGGCCAGAGACCACCAACAGCGAACAGCCGGCTCCGCCCGCGTCGGTCTGAGCCCCGGGCGCCCATTTCCAAAAGAGGGGCAAAGTCAGGCCAGCGATTTGCGTCGGTCGGAACCCTGCAACATTGCAGGATGTTTGCTGAACGAGAACGGGGACGGGACCCCAAATGTCACATGACGTCTTGCGTTAGTTCGGGCTCTCGAAAATGGAAGATGATGCGAGAGCTTACGATGAAAGCTCAAAATGAAATAATGTGAGGGTAATGTGACAGTCAGGGGTCTCAGTACGGAAAGAACCCCCCATCCCATTTCAGCCTAGGACCTGTGAAGCCAAATCGAACTCTCTGTGCCAGTTATGGCACCCCTGCGGCTATAAGGCATCTTTTTGCGTCAGTGAAGACCCCGGCGTCGATCCGGGGTCAACTGCCCGGGTCAGAGGGCCTCTCGCGCTAGGGAGGGGACCAATACATGATGCATCCTTGTAAGGCTCTCCGGATGGACATAGGACCCCGCCCTGTGTCGCCAGAATGACAGCCGGTAAGCATCCCGCGCTGAGACGGAGTTATCCTTCATCCCTTGACCAGGAAATATGTGCCTCTAGTGTTCTAACCACGGGATCCCTCGCCCGGAAAAGGATAAAACGTCTCCTTGGTGTTCAAAAATATTAACCAAAATGGGCAAAAAATAAAAAAGGCAATCCCATGCTTGCCTGAGGACGGCCATCCTTTCAGAATGACCTAGTGAAAAAACGTAGAATGTTTTGAGCCTGCGCGCTGGCAATCTTGGAGCAAGAACGCCATTGGCCGGCGCGGAAGCTGCCGTCAAACCGAATGGCGTGGACCGCTACTTTCCAAAAATCTTTCAAAACCGAGTCGCACCGTTCAGAAATTAGACTGGGGCACCAATGTCTCCTGAAAGGTTTTGAGATTGTCCTCTGGACAGATAAACAGACAGGGTAACACTTAAATAGGGATTCTTCGACTACTTCTCCGGTTCCACCACGAGATTCCAGCTACGGTTCGCGGCGGTGTGAGAGATGCTCCCTTCCTATTATCAACCTAAAACCGCATTGGTGAAAGATACGCCCAGAGTACCCTACTAAATGTACTACAGAACCCTCAATACATCTGGAGAAAAAATCCACCCAGCCTCTCACTGCTGTTGGTTTACAGAGTCTAATCAACCACTGTAACATGATTTGCGTCGGTGGTTCATTCCATGCAGCCATTTACTAGTTACTCCCAGCTACTCCAGTACATTGTCTTCAAAATGCAAAAAAAAGAGTCATCTGGTGGGTTTTGGCATCCTTTCCAGTTAAAGAAGGTAAAAATAAACACGAAAAGGACAATCGTGCACCTTACGTGAGCAAAAACAGCGTTAGCAGGTGACGTCATAACCACGGTCTCGTGAGATTCGGACCGAAACCAACGTTCCTTTCACTCGCTCATACATCTTCATTGCTTTACTAACCAAACCTCGATTGGTACACTACCGTCACGCATAATGGTCGTTAAAAACCTGCAAATCTCATGTTGTAATGTCTGAAGGGTGTCGGTCCTTTTGAGCTTACGAAAATCTGTAACGCGAGCATCGACGCTTAGAAAGATATACTATAAGAACACTGGTGTCGACAAACGTTGCGCTGCGAACGGACTCGCGCGTGGCGAACAACCGCGATAAAAACATCAGTTTTTACGAAAAATCGCACGGATAATTTGCATAGATAAATATCCGCGGACAGGGACACATGTGATACGAACATTTCCGCCACGAGATCAGCGTTTCCGAACACCAGCCGTCACGCACCTTTACGAAATTGCTTCGGCTTGCGAACAGCTATGACACGAACGTATCTTTCGAACATTTGCTCGGTCAGCGTGCGGCATCCCCCCCCCCCCCACAAAAAGGCAGCAGGCTATATTCGTTCCCTTAGAGCCATTGTGCTGCAGCTGTTCAGTGTGCGTTGACTGTAAGGTTGGAATGAGTCACCTCCCTGCAGGTTGCGTGATCACCTCAGTCGGCTCAGTAATTGCCCCTATGGCGTGCTATGTACAGTGCTGGGGTGCTGTGCTGAAGTGGCGTCCGATCTGCTGAACTGGGGGCAACGGTGCGCGCAACTTCACCTTCTTTCTTTCCATGCAGCTCACGTTTACGCTATTTTTTTCAGAAATGGGGTTGGCTGCCCTTGTTCTGCTGGCCCCAGTGCTTTGCGGATATACTGGGAGTGGTGTGTCAGTGACCGTTCAGATATCAGTGGCCGCGTCACGTCCTGTGGGTTCGAATGTTTCACTGTCTTAGACGTACCTGTAGCTGGCCACGAAGCTTTTCAATTTCCAGTCCCTTTTCCATTTTCTTTGTGACGTAAACGTAGTTCTGAAAGGCAGACGTCCGGTTAATGCCCAGTTGTACCCGACAAAACGCTGGGATTGTCGCGAGAGTGCAACAGTTGAGAACCCAGGAAGCATCAATCTCGTCGCTGGAGCGCCGACTGCTCTCAACAGAACTCATCCCACAGTGTTGAACACGTGGCCGTCTAATGCCTCCTGTCATGTAAGCTTTAGGGCGCAGCCGCATCGGTACGCCTGCAAGATAAGCCACTTATCTGGGTTACGTGCTTGTTGTTAGGATGGGTCTCGCAGCAGGCTTTTACGAGCGTTCCCAAATTAATAATGAAAATATTGTGACAGCTGAGGATATAGCTGATGTAGCGGCATTACGGATGGTATAGAGAGGTCTATGGCTCTGCATTGTTACAACTGTTCATGATTTTGGTGATACGAACAGTTTTAAAGGTGGCCTCGTCGGTTTCCCGTGATTTCCGACGAGTATTTTCGTTGAAAATTTAACTTTAACTTATATGTTAACTTTCTTTGAAGACATGATTTTCAATTTCTTTGCATGCCATTTCAGTACGGAAGTCGTTTCTGTATCTTTGTCAAAAATAACCACACAGCTTCTCTGTAATTCCCATAGGGATTTTCACACAACCACTCGCACCGCCATCTATTGAACAAACGTGTAACCGAAGTACCGGAAGCAGCCCTCACTTCTAAAGGCTTGCAGGTTGGTTTTATACGCGGTTAAACGGAACATGAGCAAGTTAATTTCATGGAAAATCGTTTGGAAGTGCTTGAGAAGAGGCCTGTGTTACATAGGTGCTGCACCGTCGGCCTGATTCACCCGTCTGGTAACTGCTTCGCATCAAAAACCTACCGCCTGCTAGACGTTGCCATTGAGAAAAAGGAAAACTGGTTGTAAAAACACTTTCTTTATGTTTTCTAAGCGGATAGGAAGGTCGCACTGAAAAGGCGGTTGATATAATTTCATTTCATTCACACACATTTGACCGCACGCCACTGATCTGACGCACACGTATTAGACTCACTGGACGGGTGCCGACGTTATTAACCCTATTTGAAGAATGGGTTGTCTACACGTCCGTCGAGCAGCCATAGTGTGTCCGTGTGACCTCCAACGGAGGATTTTTCAAAGACAGACGTCATCATCGACTTTGTTATCCCTACTGAGCGCTCCATCCTGTATCTCCACAATGCCACGCCTCTCTGGGTGAGCGTAAGATGACGCAGTTGTCTACCCTTGCAGGAGCCCTTCAGGAGACCCGTACAAAGCTCCGAAGGTGGGTCCCTTTGCGGGGTGAAACCTGTCAACGAATGCATCCACGATCGCCGCATTATCGCCCCACGACCCGCCTTCGTCCTTCATACGACAACTCTGAAACGGCCCGTGCCGGCCAAAAAAGCTCTAAGCTCCCCGCCCTCAAAAGCGGTAGTTTTGGAAACGCGGCAGTGGTCAAATGGGATGGGATGGCATGCGCACTAACCAAGTGGGCTATCAGAACGAACACCGATACCGACGACCAGCGGTTACAGCTGTGTCTCAAAACTACATGCTGCTTTGACGCAAACGCGATTTCGTTCCGCCGGCGCTGCATTTTTGCGCATATTTACTCGTGGCGCGTGTCCCGTCCGACGAGTGCGGACGCCAACCCCCGCGACGAGCCGCCCTCCTCGCCCTGCGGCCCGTGTATATGGTGTGGGGTAACGTGTGACCCACAGTCTGCGGCTCAGTGACGCTCAGTCACGTCATAAGCGGCGGCTCGGTTATATAAACTCCTTCGACCACTCGAAGAGATCGGCGTTGAAGCTGGCGTCAAAGCTGACGCCGGGGTAACGGGTACGGCCGCCCTTCCTCCTAAACACGTTCTCTTGACGGATATCGTTGACAGCATGGTCAGACGAGAGACCTGCAGACGAGCCATTCCCCTGGACAACTAGTCAATGCATTGGGGCGACAAAGCCAAATCTTTAAGTAGCTGGACCAATTTTTAAGCACTTTTATGACGCGGTGACGCTCAATCTCGGATCATGCAGGTATGCAGCAGCTCACAATACATTTCGCATGGCTTGATTGGCTCAAGGTTAAATTTCAGTCGTACTGTAAGAGCGGCTCTCAAACTTTAATCCGCAGTGTCCCGCTGCTCAGAGGTTTGGCCGCTTCGGTCCAACGCACAGTCCGGTGGGTTATGCTGCGGAACGTCTATCGGGCTTACCCGGAAGCAATACTCTTCGCCATGCTTCTGCCATGCTTGTCGATCCCGTCGGGGGATCCGACAGGGAGTCGCGGGGTTCGTGGAGGAGTCATGGGGATCTGTAAAAGAGTCGGGGGATCCGTCAGGAAGCCGCGGAGATCCGTCAGGGAGTCGCGGAGATCCGTCAGAGAGCCGCGGGGATCCGTGAAGGAGTCGTGGGGATCTGTCAAAGAGTCAGGGAATCCTCCAGGAAGCCGCGGTGATCCGTCAGCAAGCTGGGGGGGGGGGGGGGGGGGGGGGGGGGCGGGATGATCCGTTAGAGAGTCGTGGAGATCCGTCAGAGCGTCGGGGTTGGGACTGTCCACTGCTAAGATCACGACTGGGATGGGGCGCAACCGTACCAGCTGCCCGACATGAACTCTGACGCCACCGAATACATTGATCCCTTTGAGATACGCGCAGACTTTCGCACTCCCGCTAGGCAAGGGTGAAGAAGTGAATTTTCTGTCACTGACGGAATTTGGAGCAAAATATGTTGCAACATAACTCTAAAAATGATAACCCACATAAAACATATGAAGTGCAGCGCGTCTTAAATATAATGAATATTTGCGTTTCCCAAGTGTCCACTTGTATTGAAGTACCATTTGCTGGCCATGGTTAAAGTCCCAGTGGTTGGGGCATAGTTCATTGTGCAATAGTGACCGACGCAGCAGGCTTAAGGTAGGTGAGCACGTCGGTTCGATTCAAACCTAAGGCGTCGCATATACGTAGGAAGGCGAGAACGTGTTTGGTCAGCGGCCGCACCACAGCCATAAATGACACTTAACAAACCTCATACATTACCCAAAGTCCCCCATGGGCAATACCCGTGTTGGAGAAAGTGCTCCTGCACCGTTTAATCCATCCATAAAAATCACTCCGCAACTTTGCTATCAGTTGCACGCTCATTTTGATGTTACAAGCTGCGTGATTCCGGCGGTCGTGTTTCCGGCACAGGAACAGCCGTGTGTCTGCCACAGGAGAGGTCATCCAGCATTGGAGAGGGCGTACCCTTCGACACAGGAACTGCTGCGTGCACATAAGCATCATGTCAGGTGCAGGAGAGGTCGCGTGTCCAGCACTGGAGCAGGCCGCGTGTCCGGCACAGGAGAAGCAGCATGCCCGGCACAAGGGAGGCTGCGTGTCCAGCACTGGAGTGGGTCCAGGCTAGAGTGGGCTCATGTTCGGTACTGGAGCGGCTGCGTGTCCGGCGCAGGAGAGGCCACGGTTCCAACGCAGGGCTGGGAAGCGCTGGCGTAGGACTGCGGAGCGTTTAAGCCATGCCTTGATTCGCTGTTCTTCATAGGTGTGGAGTGGGAGGAGGGGGGGGGGGGGGGGGGCTCGATGAGACCCCTGGAATTTCCAAGTTAGGACAGAGTGGGCCTCGCGGAAAAACAGTGAATTGGGCCCAATAACATCTCGCAATTAGCAATAAGTTGCATGCTACTGACTCAGTAATTAACCCCATTAAACCAAGTCAGACATCAAATTTTCCTTAAATTTATACTTTCTTAACTTAAACATACCTTAACGTGCGGCATCATGATCTGACGTGACACGGAACAGCTGTGTATATACGCATATTTATGATGCAGGGATCCGTTAATGTAACTGTAGCTGTGTCAGCACGTCGCGCGCGGTACGCGAAATCGTCGGTTGCGGCCCGTCACCCGCGCCAGCCGTGGATCGCCGAGCAGTGTTTATAGACAACAGCAGCTTCTCAGAAACCAGAACTGCTAGGGGCATGTTTTTGCGTCAAGACACCTCCACTGAATGCCCCAGAGGATACCAAAAGTTTGGGCACGATTGCACAACATGCTGGCGAGGTATCCGCCGAAACTTCACGGGCGTGTGCCAAGCTGATCGTTATTTGGAAGCGCGGGAGGTTGTGCGCACTTGCACAGTCTGCCGGCCTGGGACCTCAAGCGTATCCACGAGACCCGGTCCATGGCGGATCCAAAATAAAGTCAGCATGTGTGGTGTGTGTGTGTGTGTGTGTGTGTGTGTGTGTGTGTGTGTGTGTGTGTGTGTGTGTGTGTGTGTGTGTGTGTGTGTGTGTGTGTGTGTGTGTGTGTGTGTGTGTGTGTGTGTGTGTGTGTGTGTGTGTGTGTGTGTGTGTGTGTGTGTGTGTGTGTGTGTGTGTGTGTGTGTGTGTGTGTGTGTGTGTGTGTGTGTGTGTGTGTGTGTGTGTGTGTGTGTGTGTGTGTGTGTGTGTTACAAACCATCTCATACGTATTATCCGCTATCAGCCGAAATATATAGACCGGTGCACGCATTGTACGACAAACTCACTACGTGACCCTGAACTGGGGACTGGTTCATGCCAATTCCAGTCACTGGAACGGAGCTGCTGACTGCCCGGCGAACAAAGTGTCAGTTTTGGACCAGGCCACCAATCCCGCTGACCTGACCAGGGCGAAGGCGGTGTCAGATGCAACACTGTTGACCTGCCCCATGCCAGAGGCGTGGTGACCTGCGCCAAAGTGCCGCATCCGATGCCTGGGTCTGACACGCAGGGGATCATCACCGTCTCTCGACAGTGGATGCACGCGAGTTAAGTATGTGGACACATGACATTCGATCCTTGGTCAGGACGTAAGATTTGATCACCTTCTGGAATAGGCCCATTAATTATCCCAGAAACCTAGATGTGGAGTGGCAGCCACTTGTGCTGCCTACAGATGGGTGATACCCTCGCAACAAACGAAAACTCTTTAAGACAGAGCCCTTGACTTTGAGCCCGTCCCCTCACGTCCATGTGATTTGCAAAACTGTATCCCCGTATTGCTTCATGTGCCAATTAAAATGGTCCTACGGGCATGTGAAGCTAGCATCACACAAATTTGAACAAGCTCATGCATTCTGGTAACAGCGACATAGGCCTCGCACTTCGAGGCGGGTTTTGGGTGCTTCGGCTGCACCACCTTATTGCCATAACACGGTCTCAGTCAAAGGCATCTGGTACGAAGCCCCTACAATCTAGACATCAGTAGATGTGCAAGATATTTCTGAACGCCTCTAGCCCCTTCATTTATCTCCATATACAATATCATGGCAATAAAAAGCGTGTTATCTCACGTCTGTCAACCACACAGTTCACCAAATCCGCGGTGCGGCGGGTAGTGTGCGAGGCCTACGCCGGCGATACTAATCCTCTCACCCTAAAGCTGCAGTTCTAATCAGCAGCAGAAACCTCCGGATTAATCCTCGACATGTGTCGCTTTAACATCCGTCGTTGACCTCTGAAAATACAGGTGAGATGCTCACAAACATCGGCCCGCCAAGATCGGCAGGGCTTTCTAACGCTTCTACCAGGGACGCCCTGCATGGTAGATGCTTAGAAAAGCCGCACAGCGTCTAGCAGAAACTGACGATGAACTTCGTCCTTCGAGCCAGTGAGCTTCTCACGATGCGAGCCCAACCAATGGCAGCCTAGCCAGCCGAGCAGTCTGTCTCAAAAGGCATGGCTCGCAGCAAACTGATCGCGCTCGTTGCAAGCTGCTGAAGCTAGCCACGATTCTTACAGCTAGTAATAAGCCATCTTATTTGCTAGTTTATACTGTGGAGTGTGTGAAGTGAATCCTGGCTGAAAACGGCATGAAAACACTGTTCTGAGAGGCATTGGAAAATCTCTGTGTCGCCACTGATCTGGAGCCGGCAGCACTGATTAATTACAGTTTGCAGCATAACTCTTTAACCTGCTAAAAATTCTCCTGATTTTACTTACTATTTTGGAAGCATGCTGTGGCTCAACTTTCTCATACAGCGAAACATCAATGCTTTGTCACGTGGTCTTCACAAGCTCACGCTGCAAGCGTTAACGAGTGCAGACTAGGACTAAGCTTTAAGCTTGGTCTAACTGGGAAGGTCTGTTGAAATGGATTTCAACTTTCACGAATTTATCACAGAATGGCTCAAAAGGTCTCCAAAAGATCTCCATACTTCTGTCACCGATCACATCCTGCAAATCGGTAGCTTTTCACCCCTGCCGCTAAGCGACACTGCAGCCCACCCATGGCCGGTACATGCAGCTCGCCCGGGAAAAGCGAAGCGCTTCGAAGATGGAGGAGGGAGCGTGAGGGAAAAAAGAGGGGTGAGGGTTACCGTCTTTAGAGAACAAAGTCTAGATGTGACACGGGCGCACCATGGGTGCAAGGTCGGCTTGCTGAGGCAGTCCATTTTTTGATTACATGTATGCTAAACTGCTCACTTGAGCTCTAAATGCGCTTGAAAGAAACAGGCTAGTTCAGCGTATTTGCAACAGGTCCTTCCCATTTGCTTACGTAGCTCAAACAAAGTCCTTTGTACATCCGGTTTACCTTTTTAGACATACAGAGGCGTCGCCAGGCAGTAGACATTCCGTGCGCAGCTTTGGCTGGGAGAGGCAAATCAAGCCAATGCTGTCAGATTTAGGTGTCACTGAACTTGTTCCCAAATAATTTTCAACCAATTTTCCATGAATTAAAATATCTGGTATTTTGAATGGGCGCGTGTAAAACCAGTCCGCAGGCCCAGCCGCAGGAAACTGCGTTGGGCCGGTTCTCGTACTCTTCGCTCAGTAGGTGGCGTTGTGAGCGCATATCTGAACATCCCTAGCGCAAGTGTAGAACATGGCAATATAGCAGAATAAGCTGCACCAGAACATCTTCACTGGCGAGACAATATACAAAGGGCGTTAAATAATGCATACAAATGACGAGATATTTCCCCCGGAAGTAACAAACAGCTTCTTCTGAACAATAACAGTGAATGTCGGTGCCAGATGCACCACGTGATATTCCATGAAAGCAGGGACAGCATGCAAGAGGGCAAGCTAACCTGCAGGCGATCACGCTCCATGAATGCACTCCTGGACCTTACCTTGCCAATGCCGCGTGCACCAAGAAAACCACACCGGTCAATCCGTCCGTCCTCACTGACCTGCGCCACTCAGCGGCGGGTGTATCATTTATCGTCTGCAGCGCTGGGCGGCACAAGACCCCGTGCACTGCGCCGGCACTGGCTCGTGAGCAGCGGACAGGGCAGGACGCGCTGGCACAACCCTCCCCACCGAGCACTCGCCGCGCACTGATAAACACCGGCCGGCGGGCGTCAGGCCAGCGGCAGGCCGCGCTCCGCCGTCCCCCGGCACTCCGGCCGGTGTCCAGCGCGCTCCCCCTGCGCTCCGGCCGGTGTCCAGCGCGCCGGCCAGCCTGGGCACCTTACGGCGGGGCAAGCAGGAAACAAGCAAGCAAAGCGGGGCAAAAAGGCCGTGCGGAGCATCAGCGTCATATTTCATCAGCGTTTGACGGCTCGACGTCCTCAACAACCCGCTGAATATGACGTCACAGATTGCCACGTCACATCCGCACACGAGCGCGGGGCGTAAAGCTGTTGTGACGTAGTTGTCGGCGACGTCACTGATAGCACTGGTGGTCGGCGTTTGTCTCTGATCGCGTGCCGTTTATACGTATTTTCGTCTGCGCTCTGCAGGTTTTCCTGGACTGATCGAGGGGAGCCCTCCCAGAAAGCCATCGCATACGCGGCTCGTCCACATTGAGGCCACGGAGCCGCAACTGCCCACTTTGCACCGAGGCGTAACAACCAGCGGCTGGATCAGGCCGGACACTCCGTGGCGGCGCTTTCCTCAGAACGCCGGCTGGAAATTCTGATGTTGCACAACAGGCGGCTGACGCTGCCGCGCAGCCGGCGCTGCCGCACAGCGCACGCTGCGTCACGAGAGGCGTCCCCGGCGAGGGCACGCCACCCTTCCGGGACACGCGCACCCGGCAGTCACACGGCCGCGGCGCCTGCTGTGTCGCAACGGCAGGACGGCTGGACACTGGAGCCGACGCCGCGCCGGAGCGGGAGCGGCGCCGCTGGCACGTGCCGCCTGTCCGCCAGCGCCGGCTCCGTGGGCTCGCTGGAGCTGCGACCGGGCGCGTGTCAGATTAGTCAATCAACGCCGAAAGGGGGGGGGGGGGGCTCCACGCGAACGGGCAACGCACTAGCCCAACTGAGTTTTTACTGTCCTGGTCGATGTCATAGCATGGACTCATGCATACTGCTCTTCATATCACAATCAATCAAAATCTGAGGGCAATGCTGCTAATAAACCTAGTCAACATAAGGCTTTAGTCCTATTCCAGGCAGGCAGGGCTAATTCCGTCCTCCTGCCCACTTCAGGGTCTTTCACTGATTGCTCTGAAACGGTTTCGAGCAGATCGTTCAAGTTTCATAACTTTTCCTGGACATGGTCTACGTACCGCGGATAAATTTCCGGTAGATGCCATGTTCAGGGGCAATTCTAGGGCCCAGTACTGGGAACCACTCTCAGTAAAATTTTGCGGTAGTGCTGAGACGGTGATCAACCTGGGATCGTGCATACGACAATGCCTTTGCAGCGTAACTGATGCTTCAGTCTGTAAGGAGCCTTGTAGTGTCCTTTTTAAGTGATTGAAAATACGCGATGTGCACATCATTGTTGCATCTATCGCTAATCCAGAGAAGCTCACCGCAAAAATTAAGAACACCTTTTGGTGAACTTCCAATGTCTTCTCAGTGCAATCCAAACATAACTGACAGTCACTTTTATCTATTTGAAATATATATATATATATATCTATATATATATAGATATAGATAATATAGATATAGATCTAGATATAGATATAGATATATAGATATAGATTCTAGATATATATATATATATATAGATAGATAGATAGAAGGTAGAGAGAGAGAGAGAGAGAGAGAGAGAGAGAGAGAAGAGAGAGAGGAGAGAGAGAGAGGAGAGAGAGAGAGAGAGAGAGAGAGAGAGAGAGAGAGAGAGAGAGAGAGAGAGAGAGAGAAGAGAGAGAGAGAGAGAGAGAGAGAGAGAGAGAGAGAGAGGAGAGAGAGAGAGAGAGAGAGAGAGAGAGAAGAGAGAGAGAGAGAGAGAGAGAGAGAGAGGCGATGAGAGAGCTATATATATATATATATATATATATATATGCATATGTATATATATTGTGTGTGTTGTGTGCTGTGTGTGTGTTGTGTGTGTGTGTGTGTGTGGTGTTGTGTGTGGGTGTGTGTTGTGTGTGTGTGTGTGGTGGTGTGTGTGTGTGTGAGTGTGTGTGTGTGTGTGTGTGTGTGTGTGTGTGTGTGTGTGTGTTGGTGTGTGTGTGTGTTTGTGTTTGTGTGTGTGTGTGTTTGTGTGTGTGTGTGTGTGTGTGTGTGTGTGTGTGTGTGCCTAAACCGTTGCCAACAACTTTAAAAAACACGCCATATTCATGTATATAGGTAGCTACTCCATGACCCCACACGCGTTCCCCAGCCTTAGCTGGTCTAGCGCCGTCTAGCCTCATAGACGCCACTCTTGTTGAATGGTCTTCGACGGTAATCTGCAGGCAGGCCGTGAGATCTGGGCGAGAACGGGGCAGAGGCGGCCTTGTCACGACACCGCGCGGAACCTGCGACAACCGTCGTCGGCACAGATTGTCTTCGATAGACTGGAATTGCTGTCGCCGCCTGGGGCTGTGGTCAGATTCTTCGCACTAAGCTATGCTTAGGGAGGATTCCGAGGCCATCCCCTACGAAAGAAAGCAATCCAACTCCCTTTTAAAACATCACTGTGTTTACTAAACGTGGAAAACATTCCACTCAATTCGCGAGCATAGACTTGGTGATCCACTCCCGCAGCCAGTTCAGTGGACTCGGAACGGAGGCTGGGGCTGTCGCTCACAGCATGTGTTCTCGTCGATAGCAGCGAGGGCCCAAGTCGGTCAGACCACCACACTCACGCAGCCAGTCGGTGGACGCGGACGAGGCTGAGGCGTCGCTCAACAGCAGTGTTCCCTCGATACCAGCAAGGCCCAAGTCGGTCAGAACCACCACACTCCCGCAGCCAGTCGGTGGACGCGGACGGAGGCTGAGGCTTCGCGCAACAACAGTGTTCGCTCGATACCAGCGAGGCCCAAGTCGGTCAGAACTACCACACTCCCGCAGCCAGTCGGTGGACGCGGGCGGAGGCTGAGGCTTCGCGCAACAACAGTGTTCGCTCGATACCAGCGAGGCCCAAGTCGGTCAGAACCACCACACTCACAGCAGCCACACAGAGCTAGCTTGGAGATGGCCGCCGGCCGGCTGTCACGTGACGGACGCGTGCGACTCGGGCTCATGTGCCGACTGGGAGGGCGTTATCAGTGACGATGGACAGCAGGGCTGGGCCGTATCAACACCAAGGATGATAGTGTGATGATCGGTGGCGGGCTGCCGACGTCTGCAGACACTAGTGCTGCCGCAGAAGCCAGAGTAGCACCTGTCAACAGTCAGCTCGCACCAGCCACGTGATCTGGCAGTCGCACTGGTAACGGACCACCTGATTGCCCTGCCCATAGCTTTGCGTCAGTTCTCAGGGATGAATGGTGCTAGGGACGACGCTCAGAATGATGCCGGAGGACGGAAAGGGAGCTAGATACAATAACGGAACACACAAGCACGCGTCAATGCGCGTGGTAGGAGGCTTGTGTAAAAGGGCTGGGTCATGGACATGCGATGAAACGCCATGAACTCAGGAAAATATTTTTGAGGCAACAGTTACAAAATCATGCTGTGACTAAACTTGGTGTTGTGGGCTCTATTCGCATTCCGTTTCCTGAGTTGGATGCGCGTCACCAGGCCGTAGTACGGCAAGGACCGCATCCACGACCTTTGGCGCCCGGTCATCAAAAGTCACTTCAACGGGGTAGCAGGGAAGGAGAGATCGGGAGTCCCAGTCGACCTTGTTAGCAAACTTAAAGTTGATATGCTTCGCAGCTGCACGCCTACAACGGTCATCATTAAAATGTTAACCAACGCTGACAACTTACTTTTTTTGCACAATCGCTTGCTACCAGATACCACTACTAAAAGTAATCTCCACCGGCAATCTCGAAGCGGTCCGACTCATAGCGACCCCAGTGCTCGACCGAGAAGCGGCTGATGCAACCTTTGTCGACACCACTCTCGGATGTAGCGTGCTCTGCCGGGAGATAAATTGTTATCATGAAAAGTACATAAGCGAGCAGCCTAGATTACTGTGGCCAATATCAATAAGGAATACCTTTGTTTTGACACTGCCGGTTATGTTCGCACCACGATGTTTATACGGCTATGGGTCGTAAACACAAATGTTCCTGCCTCTGTTGCTCGTTACGCGTAAGCCCATGCGTTAACGCTAACGTTCGCGTCGTAACATCAGTCAACGCCGTAATTCATGTTTTCCTGAAATAAGCGCCTGAAGAATGCATAGGTGGATCACTGTCAGGTAACGACTCATGAATAGCGGGCATTCTAATGCAGTAGGCAAACCCGTCGGTACATTTTTCGAACGGTCTCTGGGTCCATCAGGTTAGGTTTGCATTTATACGATAATAACTGATAAATCCTGTCACATGTGTTACCGCTTCGTTTCTCTCACCACGCACAAAGCGTGCTGCATGCAGACAATTGCTAAGACATTTATTTTTTCACGAACGTTGAGTCTTTGAACTGCCATGCATACGTTGACGAAAAAAAAAACACTCAATCAGTTCCAAGCGAGTTCCACGTTATTCCAGATTGAGGGGGCGAATTCCACCCCGTCTTTTCTTGAGACCGTCAGAACTACCTGGCCAATTTTGAAGGAAAATCTTAACGGCGTTGCGCTAAAAATGTACGCTAAAGATGAGGCACGGTGCCCATATAGCGTACCTGCGGAGAGGTCTCATGGGCATATCCAGTTTTCCAAATGACGTGAGTAGGGACACGTGATTAGAGCTGTCCGCTGACGACAGACGTTGGTGGCCACGATCTCCTTGTGAAGCAATAACCCGTGTCTGAAGTGTCCGGACTCGCCTCTGGAATAGGTTTACTGCAGCGTAACGAAGGATGGAATACAACATTGGCCATTTTAGGTCCTCATGTGACAAAAAAACAAGACAAAAAACAAAAGGTGATATGAGCCCCGCACTCCCATCCCTGGAGGCGCCTCTGCTAAATGTATTTCCTTTCCTTCCTCCAACTTCGCATTGGTCGGTATTTTCCTGCTGTCGGATGGGAGATCTGGTTCTCAT